TAATGTTCTTGCTAAAATTTCAATCTTTTTATCACATATTAGCTTGTTGAACTAACTCTATATCATTCATGTAGTGGCAAAACATTTTTTTAATCCTTATTATAAGTAGCTTACATTACATGGTTGCACTTGTAAGAGGATGCTTCACAAGTACACATCATTTGAAGGTAATATATAATTGTGTTTGTTTCTTTAAAATATCAGAAAATATTAAATATAGAGAATAGCTGGCCCCATGGTCCATCTATTAATCCCAAACATTTTTTTCATCAAATGTAATAAACTTCATTTGAATATGTAATAATCAAGTACAAAGAAGTTAATATTTAAGCAATCAATAGTTAAAGGTTTGAAGTTAATGTGATACGCATCAAAAGTCAAAGAAGATTTTATCCACATTTACAATAAATTAATAAATAAATTAACGTACATTGATTTTTAGCATGTTGCTCATTCTAACATATTACAAACATAAACATATGCAAATGACATTTTACCTAATGACTTTCTTCCCAAATCTTTTACAATAATAAATTTTATATATATGGCCGCATTGCGCGGGTTACTAGTAATATATAGATTATATATTATAGATATATATAATATAATATATATATATATATATATATATATATATATATATATCTATATATATATATATATATATATATCTATATATATCTATATAATATATGGGCTACCCGTGCAATGCGGCGGGCGGTAAATGAGGGAGGGGTGAATAGATTTATTTCGCCTAATAGTTGTAGCAACAACAAATGCATAGAGTTTGTAGCGAGGGATTAGTCGGTGCGCGAAAGCTGGCCCGGAAACCCTCGTTAGGGTAGTTCCTTTTCCAAAAAAAAACAACAAATGCACAGAGTTTATGTTTTAACATCAATAAATACTCCACACATGGTGAATTTTTTTTTTCGAACAGTTTTCTTTTCAACGGACGGTGAATGTTTAAACAACATATACACCACATATGCCACAAGCTCTAGTTATATGGCTCTAGGTTCTAATTATTCGAGTAAATGTAGAAATTGAATGATTAATAATCATTGTTTTCGTTGACCTGATCATGCTTCCTTTTCAACTCATGCTCAATAAAAAATGCTTGTAAAGTTTTTACGTTCTCCACTAATATTAGAGTGAGTTTAATAACATTTTTAAAAATCTAACTATATTTTCAACTTTTTTCTTATATGATGATGTTTAAGAGTATTTGCAAAACCAAAGAAGTAATCAAATATACATACGAAGTCAAATTGATGTAGTTTCAAATACGAATGATCTGAAACAAAGTCTAACGCTAACACGTTCTTATTTACTAAAAAATAAATCGTTTAACAGTCAACACAATATAAATTATAATTTTTTTCTACACACACCCAAACTTCAAAATAATACACCATGTTCAACTGAAATATTAAATTTATTTTAAAGTTTTATGCAAATAAGTTAGCTCTCATTATTTTAGGAAATTTTTTGATAATGTCTTTTTTTTAACAGAAAAATCCCGATTATTTAATTTTACACGTTAATTTGTTATTTCGTGTTAAATTAAAAATAATGACTTCTTCGTTAATTTTGGAAAAATATTAAAAAATCGGGACTTTATTATTAAAATAAACTTTAAGATTTTACCAAAAATTTTTCCAGAATAGAACTTTTCTACCTAAATAATGTGACTTTGCCATAATAATTTATAGTAATCAAACAAACACTAAAAATATCTACCAAAACAAAATGTGACATTCTTAGTCTCACCACAAATTTACCATATTTTGTGGCCAATGCCTACATATTCGACTATTTAACCTATAAGAAATTTGTGATCAAATCACATCAAATAGATACTAATTTTTTGGAAAGTATGCTTTCAAAATTTATTGCAATTGCAAGTAAAAGAAAAGGCAAGCAATACTTTGTAAAGGAATCTCAATCAGTTTGAGGACTGAGCCTTAAGACTTTTAGTGTTGATAATTAAAAGTGTAGTTAACAATTGATACAAAAAAGGAATATGTTGTATAAATTCAATTTGTTTTACGATGAGTTTTTATTAAATAACAAGTAAATAAGAAACATGAAGCACTGTAAAGTTAGTAAAAGTGTCATAGACATCATACAGATAAAAGTATTACTTTGTATATTCAATCCCAAATCCAGAGGAAATTACAGAAAATGAAACAACTAATTTTTAAAATCATTAAAATAATATATGATATTGAAAGTGTAAATGGGAACATCTTGAGTATCAAATGAACTACCTGGATTTAGGATGCTTTATCGGATTCGATTTGCATAATTTATATCCATACCTACAAGCAAAAACAAAGATACAAAGAATAAAGTTCATCTTATAATCAATAATCAAGAAATGATAATTAAATCCAAACATATTTCTTCGCACACAAATTCTTAAAAAGAAGAAAGCTTTTGTATGCTTTCCATTCAACTTCCTTCTTGTAAGTAACCACTACATATTTTTAATCCAATACCAAATCATATGAAGTCTTTCAAGTCGGATAGAAAAACTAATCACTGATAAAATCGACTTCTCACTCTAGAATCAAATGTGGAGTCAATTATTTAGGTGTCAAAGGGAACCAAAAACATCATACGATCAAAAAAAGATGATTAAACCAAATTTAAACTTGTATATGATGATTAAACCTAATAAATATATGTATAATATGCAACCAAAAATCAGGTAAACCTAAAAACCTAGTAAAATTAGATAGAGATAAACTATAGCCGAGAGCAATAATTGTTAGAGTTACCTGAGCGGATCGATATCCAAGCGGACTCAAATACCCTATGAAACCATGGTACTTGTAGTTTCATATATAACTCAATGTATTTTAAAAAAAAAACAAATCAAGCCTACTAAGCAGTAGAAGCATAACCATTAGAAAAATAAGCCACCAATGGATCCATGAAATCTGGAATCAAAGGAGTGATGGACCTATCTAAAGGTTGGTTTTGACCATTACCGGTGTATGTTCTATCCCGTAAAGGCTACATGGTAAATACATGAAATTAGAAGATGAAAATGAAAAGTAGTGTAGCATGGTATTGCATGATGCCCATTGCTCACCTTTTTGTCGGGTCACAAATTTTCAAAAAAATCGGCAGCTTCTGTAACAAAATAATTTAAGGAGATACACTTATTTTCCAAATAAACTTTGAAATATAAACATTGATAGAGAATAGTAAATCTACTAACACAAAGAAATTAATCATATCCCAAATCCCTCATGATACCCTGCACTTACACTATAGTCATCTTCGTACATGAAATCAGCCATAGTTGTGGTACTATCTATGGTGAAAGACAAAGCAGTTGTGGTGGTGGTAATTTTGATGTTCTTCAACGCCACTTTCTTTAGATCTACTGTCACATACGGTTGTGGTTAGACAAAGCAGCGACAACCGTGTTGGTGTAGCAAAGCTTGTGGTGATGGTTAGGAAAAGCAACGACGACAACTTTATTGGTGGAGATGAACAGCAGTAACGGTCGTGGTGGTGGTGAGGCAAACCGGCGGCGGCCATATTGGCATTAAGGGTGCAGAGCAACAAATCGATTATGGTTCTTTATAGGTGTAGCAGCGAAAAAATAAGAGTTGGATTTTAGGGTTTGGAGGTGAAACTTGTTTACGCTTTCCAAAATTTGTGACATTAGACGCATCAAATGATATATAGCATTATAGGGTTGTGCAACATGTAATAAGATTTGTACCTCTTAAAATTCAAGAAATACCTAATATGCTTTATATATATATATATATATATAATATATATATATATATATATATATATATATATATATATATACTAGCCGTTTACCCGCACCAAGCGACGGGTGCACATAGTTTAATTTGACAATTATTTTCATTCGGAAACATGTTATATTCTAAGGAACACAAGTTATTTTTCTACAAATCCTTTCCTTTCGTGTTTATTGTTCATAAATAAATGAAACAGTCAAGTTCTCTCCCGAAGTATAAATTAAGAATCGAACTTTTGGAATCATATCTTATTTCAGAAAACAAAAAATGTATCGAAAAATAACATTAATATTATTGTATAAATCTATATTGTAAGTTGTTGGGTTCGATTAAAAATAAAAATATGTAAAGACACTAACAGTATTACAGATGACATGCATGGTTGTTATTAAACCTAAAATATCCTTTTTATATATTCGTATATGAATTTATTTATATATTCGTACATAAAGTGTCTTTTTACTTATTTCGGTTAAGTATGCTTCTGTATAGAATTTGTTCTACTGTATATTTAAAAAATCTATTGGTAAGAGAGGTACGATTGCTAATAAGAAAACAATATGAAACATATAAAAATGATCATATTTAAAAAATGTTTTAATTTTCAACTAAGCGGTGATAACAAAAATCACAAGGACCATTTTATAGATTACTCTAGATGAAATTTATAAGTAGTGGAACTTTTATTTAGATTGATCCAAGTTTGACCCAAGTTGAATATTTATATTTGGTAACTAAAATTTAAACGAAAATTATTAATTTGTTATAGCATAAAGTGGCAATAAAATGATAAACATTGTCGACAAATTTGCCCTTGAAGTATAAACAAAACACTTGATACATGCTCTTATTATAGGTCTATTACCAATCTTTTGGAATTTGGACAGATTAGCCTGAGCACATTGAAGATACAGTAAAAACTATCTCACTAACATATGATTTCTCCTGTCCAAGCTCCTAAAAACTATTTTCTTAAAATAAAAGATTATGTATCAATGTCATTGGGCTGCAAACACAGATTGCATAGTCATTAATAATTATATGATGATATTTGCTTATATGTATGTACAGACCGATTGCAAACGCCAATAATGGTTTTTTTCTTTACAATCATTGTGATGTAGCTAGAAATTACATTACTGATTATGGTAATGGATCAAATTCGTTATTGAGTTCCGGTATGCAAAACCATTATCAACAATTTCGTTTGACCAAATCCAATGCAAGTTACCAAATCGTCAATGTCATTAATCATTAAAAAAAAGTAAGTTGCTATTTCTTGTACTTATAGCCACCAGTTTTTAGAGTTAGATGCAACGAATACTGGCTCTAGATCGAATAGAGCGCAAAAGGATATTCTGAAGACTTGAAACATGGGGATGTAGCATCATTTAGCTTCTGGTGCACATAAAAAAAAGACAAATATCAATCCAAAGTCTTGCTATTATAATCAACACACTTGTCACTTTTATTGCATCAATTACCTTTATGTCTACTAATTATAATGTTTTTATTTACATTAATTATTATATCTAATTTGATCGATAAAATGAAACAATTTTAGCAAATAAGTGTTTAATGAAACTATTTCATCATTTATTTGGAATTTCATGATATTACGCAGTGCTTAAAACACCAGTAAATAAATTCACAATGAGTATGACTTGTATTTAGCTTACCACAAACAGACTGGAATCATCTTTGACCAAGTAAACTCAAGTCATGTTTCACAAACTCCCAAACATGGTTTGATGTTAAAACTTTCTGGTAGTAATTTATAAACTTTAACCCCCAGTCCATCAACAGGACATTTAGGTAATCGGAAGCCATCAACCGCCAATAAATTAGTGAAACAAACTCCTTTTTGTCTAAAAATGTAGCTTTTCCTAATAAGGATACAAAAAAATTCATGTTAAGCAAAAACAAATCAGGATTCTTGAAGAAAGTAATACATGAGAGTAAGATTACCTTCTTGGGCTTCTTTTTTAAATCAGCCAAAGTGGGTTTAAGGATTTAAGAAAATTTCACAAAATATAAGATAAGAAACCCATTACAACATTTCAATCTGTCAAAAAAACACAAGATCTTATATGTACGTGTGATAAAAAAATACCAGAAAGATGGACTGGGGAATGTTGTTTACCACAGAATCTGAACTTACTCATCATGACGGGATTGGGTGCAAATGCAATTTGACAATACTTTAATTGCTTTGCAAACACATATTAACAATAAAACCAATAAAATTATTTTTTGATACATACCTGTAATTTGGTTTAAAAGATGCAGATAATTAGCTACCTCATCCTTTCCTCCTCCTTCCATGGTAAGGTGTGGTCCATTTGGAATTAGATAGTAATTACTATTAACTAAATTTTATAAAGAGGAAAACATCAAATTGTCATCTAATGCAAGAAAATCTGGAGAACACACGGATCAGATCAATTCATTGTCATACCTATTTCTCTTATACTTCAGTTAGCCAATATCAATCAAGATCAGGGGCATGTTGGAACCATATAGTAGGTGCTGGTCTGAAACATAATATATGAGCAAAACTAAAGAGTTTAGCAAATTTTTGTTTAAAACTCCTTGTAACCATTTAATTCCAACGTATTAGGATGGGGTACATTACCTTCCGGTGTTAATTACTTGATAAATCCAATAAAAATGCCATTAACACCCATGGTTATGTCAAAAGGAAGAACGTTTGAGGTCAACAATGATGATCCAGGAATTTCATTTCCTGAAGGCGTAAAACATGAAAAAAAAGTAAAAGGCATAAAAATCTAGGGTTTCCTTTCACCCTTTCTCTCCAATCGATTTCTGATTCCTCATTTGTCTCTGCAACATGTTTAAATTGAAAAATAGTCGAGCTTTGCTAGTGTTAGCCCGTATACAACTTAATAATTATGTCACTTGTACATAGTCGAGCTTGAGAATCTTGGTGTGGGAATTGCCATGAGAGCAACCTTCTTCTTCAACACAATCCCAAACTTTTCAGATAGATCATGCTTCTCTCCGGGAGCCAATTCCCAGTCAAAAGAATGAATAAGCGATGCAAGCAAAAGCATAAACATTCGCTCCGCCATTGCAGTCCCTGCACATATCCTCCGGCCAGAACCAAATGGAAAATAATTGAAGTCATTGCCACTATAATCCCACTCGTTAACCAAGAACCTTTCAGGACTAAACTCCGATGGGTTTTCCCAAATGGTGGGGTCTCTATGTATTGCCCATGCATTGATGAACACTCGAGCACCTTTTGGAACCATGTAGCCACCGATTACACACGATTCACTTGGGCAATGTGGGACCAATAGCGGAAGTGTTGGGTGTAAACGAAGAACTTCTTTCATGATGGCGTATAAGTATGGCAGTTTGTTGATGTGGGATTCTTCCACTATGTTGTCTTTTCCGACCACCGTCTCTAATTCTTGTTGTGCCTTTTTCAGTATTTCCGGTTGGTTCATCATCTCAGCCAGCGCAAACTCAACAGTATTTGATGTCGTATCCGTCCCTCCCACCACCATATCCTGGAAAGTTTCCAAATTTACATAAAAATTAAGTCAACTAGTGTAATAATTAAAAGGTGAGTTGTCCAGTTTCGATTCAGTTTTTATAGTTATAGACTCATAGAAAGTTATAATCACTCGAGCATTTACCATGAGCAAGGCTTTTAGATGCACCATTGTGAATGGTGTTTTGGAATCTTTGTCGTCTTCACGCTGCAACAAGAACTGTAAAAAGTCTTTGTTTTCATCGCCACTCATCTTCCTCCTTTGAGCAATCATGGTCTCAAATATTCCATCGAATCTTTTCGCCAACACTTTCATGTTTTTTTGAACTCCCTGAAGATCAAACCTGGCCAGACCCGGATAAAAGTCAGACAAGTTCGGCATCCCTAAGTATCCGGTCATCTCGTTGATCACTTGCCGGAACTCCGCTCCAAGGCTCTCCCTATCCTCCGCCTTCACCGTGCCGCCCCACAGCATACCGGTAATCACATTCAACACGGTCAAGAACATCTGCTCACCTACGTTGACCGGCGATCCGGCCCGGTTGTACAAGTAATTCACGGTGTTACGGATCTCTCTCCGCCGGAGAGAGTAAACGGAATCCAAAGTTTGGTTGCTAAGCATTTCACGAACAACAATCTTTCTCAACATCCGCCATTGATCGCCATATGGGGACCAGACAATGTCGTTTCCACCATACGCCGCCTCGACGCCAGCAACCGGAACATCTCTGTTGGCGAAGGTGGTGTCGTTGAGTTTAAGCACTTCACGGGCCAAGGCCGGAGAAGTGATTAGGATTCCCAGTTTTTTACCGAGCCAGAGCCTGGAAATCGGACCGTAGGTCTTTGCGAGAGAGGCGAAATAGGAGTGGAGCTCTGGATCAAGAGACAGGAGGTTTCCGACGAGTGGCAGAGATCGTGGGCCGGGCGGCAGTGGCGGGTGGGTGTCCTTTGATATCAACATCCATACAAGCCAGAATATAGAAAGCATAGCTGCGATGATGAGAACGGTGCTAATGATTTCTTCATCGGCTCCATTGGCGCTTCCCCACCACCGTGAGCAGGCGTCAGATACGGCGGAGGTGATTAATTTGAACATCAGCAGAGAAGTAAGATTGAAAACGATCACGAATGAGTAGGTGTGTGGATTAAAAGTTAGAGATAATGTATATATGTTAAAAAGGGTCCTCAATGCCGAGTTTGCCGACCCAAGGATCTTCCTTCTTGTCAACCACAGGATGCTGGCCAACAAAAATACAAAAAGGATATTGTTAAGAAAATTTTAATTTTGTGACTTTTAGCGGTTTCGTCTTTTATTTTTTTTCCGATTTAAAGCATCACTTTTATTAACTTTGTTACATTTTTATCACTAGTTTACAGCCTTCTTAAAGTGTAACTCCCATGAAACCCTTAATTTGAAAATTTTTACACTTTTAGCTTAAGTGCGTTTTTTGTATTTTTAAACTTTTAATATTACTCATTTTTTTTTTCCAATTCAATATTATTAGCCTCTTTTGTTGACATCACAATGTTTTATAAAAGAAATGGGAAAAAAAATGTTAAGTTGGAGACACAAACACCAAACATTATGGGTGTATACATGTATCATAGGCAACAATGTATACTGCAGTAGGCTCAGGTGGACAGCTCATGGTGCGGTGAACACCACACTCATTGGGTGAGAGGTGGTGTCGTGAATCCCCCTACGCAAGAAGATTTCATTGTGCGGTATTCCACTTTTTTATTTTTTAAAAAAAAAATATTATTAAATCATATATATTACAAAATTATAAAAACTAATTGTGAGACCCGTATACTACACGGGGTTAATTAAAAAAAGTTAAATATTAAAGTCTAAAGATCAAACAATTTTAAAGTAAAATTCAAAATAAATACCATCGAAATTATGAATAAGTACTACAATCAATACTAATAAAAAAACCGATCAACATATTTTAAAGAATTGTCTTTAATTATAAATTTCCAAAGACTTATTTGAATACAACATTAGATGTCATACAACTAATTTTATGGTCATTGTCTAAAATTAACATTTCTAATCCATATATTCTTTTAACTCTGGACAATGGAACATAAAATTGTTTATGAGGGAATACTTGTCTAAAAAACAACCTTACATTTGATACCAATTGTTCTTGACACTTATTTATTGTCATCACAAAACATAATAATAATAATAATAATAATAATAATAATAATAATAATAATAAAACATTATGACATACTTGAACTTCATAATACATAAAAATATAATGCAAGGCCAAATCAAATCTCACATATAGTAATCAAAATATTATATTTTAATAGACAAAATCTATTTAAAATCAATATGATATTATAAGAAAAAGTTGATAATCCAATGTTATAACTCCATGAGAGCTTGAACCAACTTTGAATCAAAGACCATTGTAGATAAAACTAAAATTCACAACAATTCGATTAAGGCATTGTATTTTAAAATAGTCACCAACTTTCTAATTATGATGTTATATAAACAAAGAAATTAAAGTTGGTTTCTATTTTATATTATAATTATGGGTTTTTATGCATATCATTGCTCTGCATCATCTTATCTAACTCAGACTCACCAATGTGTTTGAATATTTTTCCCTTAGCCTTCTCAATAATTAACCGACTTAATTTTCAGAACAATTGTTGATTTGAAAATTTTGTTGAAAACTGAGAATAATAGTAGTTGTTAAGGAAAAGAATCAAAACATTTTTGAATTTTGTAAAGAGATATATTGTTGCAACAAAAACATAAAATTAATGTCGTTAAACACAACATCTTCGTCAAGATGATTTTCGATGAACAAAACTTAAGGGATCCAAATTATAACAATGTACTTTGAAAGTACATTGCTCTAATTGGGACTAATTTTGTTTTTTGTATAAAGACTTGTCATAGTCTTATTTCAAAAAATAAAATAATTACGCGTGTCTTCATCTTATCTCAACGTTTAATACATAAAATTAATTAATTTTCTGAGTAATAGGATAATGTGTTAGTCAGATACTTTAAAGTTTAAAGAGGTAATAACAATTTCATATAAAAAGAGTTGATGCTATAACAATAAATTTAGTTTTTATGAAGTGTGATGTTTAATTGGTGGATATGGTTTCATTTTATTAACATTACAAGTCAAATGTTAAGTTAGGCACTTTAACGACCTTTTTTAAGGATCAAAAATGTTAAACAAAATATGGTTTCAAAGATGTTAAGGGGATAATATAGTGAAATTGTCATAAGCCAAAACCAAGTCCATGCAGTATCTATGATAATGACAAAAATGGTTTCAAATTTGTTTACTGTTATGTTTTTGGGCATTTAGGAATAACAAAAATGGTTTCAAATTTGTTTACTGCTATCTTTTTTGGGCATCTAGGAATAAGTTAGTTTGCCTTTCCACAAAAAATGTAATTTTTTATGGTAACAAAATAATAATATTGTAACGTCCCAAAAATAAGACTCGAAAATCTTTCATTATTAAATTAATAAAACAGTAAATCATATCATTGTTATAAAACCAAGGTAATCAAAGTTTATCAATACATCATCATTATCAGAGTAAATCACAAAATACGGAATCGAGTGGTGTGTGCTCCGCAATCATCCCGTGCTCTTTCCTTTGAAACCAAAAGTACATGAAACATAAACTGAAAACCGTAAGCACAAAGCTTAGTGAGTTCCTCAAAATACCACATACCATACATAACTAAACACATAATGGGCCCCACCCAATGAGTGTAACAGGCCTCGCCCACACTAGCATAACGGGCCCCGCCTACTGAGTATAACGGGCCCCACCCAAACTCATATAACGGGCCCCGCCCACTGAGTATAACGGGGCCCACCCAAACTCGCATAACGCCCCCTGTATACAAATCATATGAGCATAACAAGATAATAGCATACAGAATAACCATTGCGCCCCGCCCGACATCGGGCCTTGCCCGGTAAACATACCAACACATAGAACATGCAATAGTCACGAAGACATCTAGCATCCTAACATAATAAACCATGGGCCGACATTGGTGCCTTCGATCCACTAAACACAGTGAAGAGACTCACCTCAGACTGCTGAATCCCACATATAAATCTTTGGCCGCTGGCCCGCTAAAATCCCCGTGTTATCAATCACAAAATAACATCCAATTAATTATTGGATCCCGAATCACACTAAGAGTCCAAAATAGGGTAAAAGACCTTTTTACCCTTTACCCATCTTGGCCCAAGGCAAAAGCCCAATCCAATTGTTCAAAGAGCCCAACAAGGCCCAAGACAACTAAAGTCCAACATGGCCCAAAACCGAGAGCTCAAAAGTCTGAAGTCCAATCTGTTGAGTACGCGGGTCGTACTCAGCTTGTACGCTTAGTGTACTTTCTTAAGGGCTTGTACGCACAGCGTACCTGCTTGTACGCCCAAAGTACTCCAGCAACTTGGCCAACTTCCCATATTCAGCTCTTAATCGATTAAGACTTCAACCCAAACTCAGATCCGACTTCTTTAAGGTGGTCTATCACGTAAAGTTGCCAACTTTATGTGCATGCATGGCTTAATGGGGCTCTAGAGCTCAAAAGAGCTTAATAATTAACTTAACACATGCATAAGACCAAAACCACAATAAAGTTTTCACCTTTATGCTTAAGAAACCATTAATGTGCCCAGATCTACAAGGATAAGCTCCATAAACGTCCTTAGCTCACAAAACCAACTTAAAAGGGACCAAGCAAGCCAAGGAATAGATCTATGAAATGAGGTGAGAAGCTTTGAACTTTATACCTCAAAAGCCACGAAATGAAGGTGCTAAAGATGGATCTTAAGGCTCTCCGCCAAAGTATGAGTCTTCAAGCTTCTTCTTCTACCACTTCAAGATGCACAGCACCCACCAATGATCAAAACAATAGCTCAAAAGCACCACAAAAAGGCAAGCGACGAACTAGGGTTTTTAAAGGTATGGAGGCTGGTTAAACAAGGCCAAATGAGGCTATCTTATGGTTTATATAGGGTACAAGCCCTAAAATTAGGGTTTCTAAACTGCTCACGTATATGCATGAGCTCCGCGACCAACATGCATTAGTACGTTTTTCATTGTGTGGTGAACACCACACTCATTGGGTGAGAGGTGGTGTGGTGAATCCCCTATGCAAGAAGATTTCATTGTGTGGTTTTTCATTTTTTTTATTTTTTATTTTTAAATTTATCATTAAATCATATATATTACAAAATTATAAAAACTAATTGTGAGACCCGTATATTACACGAGTTTAATTAAAAAAAGTTAAATATTAAAGTCTAAAGATCAAACATTTTTAAAGTAAAATTTCGAAATAAATATCATCGAAATTATGAATAAGTAAGTACTACAATCAATACTAATAAAAAAACCGATCAACATATTTTAAATAATTGTCTTTAATCACAAATTTCCAAAGACTTATTTGAATACAACATTAGATGTCATATAACTAAGTTTATGGTCATTGTCTAAAATTAACATTTCTAATCCATATCTTCTTTTAACTTTGGACAATGGAAGATAAAACTGTCTATGAGGGAATATTGATTGTCTTAAAAACAACCTCACATTTGATACCAATTGTTCTCGACTCTTATTTATTGTCATCACAAAACATAATAATAATAATAAAACGTTATTACATACTTGAACTTCATAATACATATAAATATAATGCAAGGCCAAATCAAATCTCAAATATAGTAATCAAAATATTATATTTTAATAGACAAAATATATTTCAAATCAATATGATATTATAAGAAAAAGAGTTGATAATCCAATATTATAACTCCATGAGAGCTTGAACCAACTTTGAATCAATGACCCATTGTCGATATGTAACATCCCAAAAATACAGTCTAAAAATTTCGTTTTTAATTCATTGTGAAAACCCTAATAACCAATATCATAATAAAAACCATGAGTAGTATGTCTCAAAATATCATAACAATGTCACATATCAAATCTCGTGTCAAAATATCATATCCAAATATCAGAGTCTAACTCCCAGGCTGAAGACTGTGGTGTGTGCCATGCGATCATCCCGAGCCCTTCCCAGTGCTAGTGGAAGTACCTGAAACCAAAACTGAAAACCGTAAGCACGAAGCTTAGTGAGTCTCCCCAATCTAC